AACTTATACTCTATATATATATATAAAAAATCCTGTTATGGTTATATTCCCCATGTATTTCCTACTGCTGCCTCAGAAAGGCTAGGCATGACGGGAATGGAAAAAGTGAATCAAAAAAATTTGAACACATTATCACTTTCCCCACATTTGAGCACTGTCGAGTTGCAGGATGACCTAAATAAAACAAAACCTATCCAAAAAGTAAGGCTCCCCTTGACTGTTATTCACAGCATTGGCTGGCCATGCTGGTTGTCTGATTGAGTCAAGCCAAACTGATAGCAACATAGGAGGTGAAAGAAACAGTCAATGAAGACACAGTACATGCAGCAAGCAAAGCCACCCTGTAATCATTGGCTGAGGGTAATTTCTTTGGGTTGAAAGACGAGTTGCTCACAATGTTGTGCCAAGAAAGTAGAGAGGGAAGAGAGGAAAGAGAAATAAGTAAAAATTTGGAGAGGTTGAATATAATAATCAGATAAATTAACAAAAGGGAGACACCGGGTATTACGAAGCTCCTCCTGCGTTGTACTGCAGGCACTTGGATGCTGAAAGGTTTCTCGGGAGCTGCCTGAATGAACACCACCACAGGCAGGCTTTCCCAGCAGCGGCTGGATGCGCACACCGGAGACAACACAAGAATGACTGCAGTGGTTGGGATACCATGGTGTTGACTCACTGCTGGCAACTACTGTGCCCCACTTTGATCAGGAGACCTAATCTTGCTAAGAAAACACTAGGTAGGCGAGAAACAAAGTGCTGTAGGAGGTGTGGAGCAAGGCCACGCACCCCCCAAGTTTGTCCCACGCTAGCTGGAATTGGCCAGCTGGGAAGAGTCGGGAAACACTCTGCGTTGGTGCTAGCAAGCGATCCAGTTGTGTTCGGTGACCCAGCCTTCTGGTATGTGACAGAGAAAAAACTCAGAGCCTGCAGAATGAGTTGATGAGCCAGGAAATGGACACACAAATGAAAACGTTTCTCAGTGTGCCTGAACCTGAAATCATTACTACTATTCCACTTGGTAGGTACATAAATAAAGTGACAACTACACTGATGGCACACAAACGATATCTGAAAAACTGCATGCTTCTTATATGCATATGCTTCAAATACGCTGTGAAGAAATAGGTGAAAAGCTAAATGCTTCAAGCATTCAATAAGTGTGTACATGATATGAACTACACCCTAGAGTGCATTCTTATGCTTATAAAACAAAATGGTTATTTTCAGTGTTTTGGGTAATGAGTTCAGACCTGTGGGGATATCATGGTTTCATAATTACCCAGATTTTAAATGAGTATTCGTTATCCAGATACATGGTTCCCTCAACGATTTCATGTGGTACAACAAATAAATTGCTTTAGGCACTGAGTTTACTAAAATTATTAAAGTAGTGTCCTGTTTTTAATAAGTTATTGGGCCCCAAATATTTGTTTTTAGGGAAGTGTTCCAGTATTAAATCTTCCATTTCCAAAATCCAACTTACAGACACAGTAAGTGTAACTTTAAACACACAAATTAAAATACTTCAGGCTGTGCTCTGTTTACACTAGTTATTCCAACATGGAATTAAACCCAGTGCATACTTATAAATATGTTAACAAGTCTCATCCATTTCATTTTTAAAAAAAGAAAGACCACTAACTCTCATTAGCAGGTCAACACTAAAGGGTGTGTATATTTTTACTGGTGACTGGTGAGCACGGCTAAGAGTGAAACAAAGTTCAGAGTTGTGGATGGCAGGCCTTATAAATATATAAGGTCATATGAATATATAAAGCTGCATAAATATGCATTTTCTAGATCCTTGGTATCAACCAGTCTCGCAGTGGCTGAAGTAATGGACTGTTTGGGAGAGGCTGTTTTCTACAAGGTAAATCTTGGTTAAGGATTAGATCGTGCCAGAGCCATTGGACCTAATTATCACCTGGTACAAATCCATCTGAGCCTGTGACCTCTAATAGTCCTCTGCGGCTTTAGCTGGGCGTCAGGTCCTGGTCACCTCAGGGCGAGACCGGTGTTATTTCCTATTTCTCAGAGCTCACAGTCAGGAATGTTTATGACTTAAATAGGGCTTATTAAGTAGAAAACAGCTACCATTCCTAGTCCCATAGTAAAAGATTAAGTCTAAAAAGCCTCAGCACTGTCATGACACAGTAAAAAAGCTCATCTGAGCCACAGAAGCATCCTGAGGAAGCACATTCAGAAACGCCGCTCCCAAAAGCAGGAACCCCGAACAGCAGGCACGCCACGCACCAGGCTACCCTTCTCTGGGTGCGCTTCACTCCTCGCAGCTAGCCGTCTGCCCGACCGAGGGCCGTGCTACGTTCCTGCCTTGTACTCGCTCCCCATCCAAGGCAGCCTGGACCCGTGGCTGGAGGAGTAGCTGCCTCCTGCACGTTCCTGTGAATCCAAAGCCTGCCGCCGCCCGGGCTGCTTCTGCAGCCCAAGCTGGCACTACGGGTACGGACACGTCCCACGCCTTCCCCTGCCCTCCTGTTGCGTAGCCGGGGAACAGGCGGGGATCAGGCGGGGAACAGGCGGGCAGACCCGAGCTGCAAGGGGTGCCGCACTCCAAACGGCTGTGGGGGTGAAGGGAGAGGACAGCGACTCCCTTCTGTCACTTGGATCCGTACCCACCGGGTACAATCGCGTTCCCTCTGCAGCCCGCTGTTCCGGGCGCTGCGGTGGAAGCTGACAATATAACTTTAATATCAGTCTGTGCTAAGCAATTTGCAAACCAGCTACACTGCCATTCAACTATCCACAATTAATTAAATTCAGATAGATATGCAGCTCAAAATATTTTATTAAACCTTATGCCAAGGACATTCCTGAAAGTCCACAGGGCTTTATTTAAGTGGAGTTTTGAACCTCAGGATTTTGGCATGTTAATCTGAAACACAGGCCAGGAAAAGAAGTTTCATATTATGTATGAATCAGTAATTATTCTATTTCTTATTTTGTTTTGTGAATAATTTTTAAAGCAAAGCTTCAAAATGTATAAAGTAGCTATTTCTTGACAGCATTATGAATTGGGTCAAAACATGTCTCCCTCTGTGATCAAAACCAGGCCATTCATGAAGGCTTTTGGTTCCCCCAACCTCAAAACTAAAAATTCTCCTTTCTTTTCAGCACCCCTCTCCAAACCTACACCGTAATACTCACCTTTGTAAAGGAAGGAGAGCACAGGTTCAGACATAAGGAACCTGCATTTTGAACCGCCTATTCTGAATTACGGTATGTAATTGAACATACGCTATATCAGTAAGGTATTTCCACTGGTATTACACACAGGCAGTTAGTTCAGCTACCATCAGTACCATAACCTGATCGTGCCCAAATTGTACAATTCCTATAGACAATCTTTCTGAAAATATTTTTATATAGACAGTAATAAAATAATGGATTTTTTGAAGAGCGTCTGTACTGTCATCACTTCCTGCAAAGCTCATGAGACTGGGATTCTCATTTCGACAAGGAAAGATAGAAATTACACCTACAGTTATCACTGGCACAGAGTTTCAGGTTTTGAATTCCACCGTGCTAAGCGAAATGTCCAGTATAATACAAATGTACAGTGAAAAGACAAGCCAGAACTGGATTCTTATCTTTTCTAATGTCCTTTGTAATTTACACTCAATTTATGGATTTTTTTTTTCTTTTTTCCAGTTGGCATAGTGTAAAGGATAAAGGAAAAAATCAAATCAAATGTAGGTAAATATGAGGGTGAGAGGTATGTACCATTAAAGTGTATTAAAAAACTACTTCTTCAGGTGATAACCTTTGTCTCTGACTGGCAGAAAAAAAAAATTTAAAACAATCCTGTTATTACTGATCTAGCAATTATGACATTCAGTTTATGCCAAATTAATAATGTTGTGAAAGTACAGGGAGATGAGTGAATTAACCTGTATACAGATTTTTTCTGTATAAATAGATCATTCCAAATCAGCAAGAAACTACATAAAGTAACACACTTACTGTTGCAGGCATTCATCTGACAAGACCTTACAAGCAGTGAAGGAGACAGACCACTACACATTGATCCATTTAATGTGACATATTGGCCCTTTGCTGTTAGGTTTTGGCAGGCAAGTTTCCTTCGCTGGATTCCAACACCGCAGCTTACTGAGCACTGTGAAAGGAAGGATGCAGTCAAACTAAACTTGGTGTCCCATGCCACACATGCTAATTTTAAACTAGTTTGTTTTGTTTTGGTTTGTGTTTTTTTCTCCTGAGAGAGTGCATATGCTCTAGTTCATAAGAATTAAACTCCCTTCACTTTTCCAGGCAATAAGAACACAAGATAGATAATTTGTTCCAGCAAGCAACTCAGGAACAATTAAAATAACATGACAGTACTTCTTTATGTTCAAGCATGGGCAGAACAGAACAATGAGATCTAGTATCTCAGAGAAACAATTCCGCACATTCTAAACAGTCTGTATCAATTCTCTCCACCTCCTCTCCTAGTTTGCATTGCATGAACTTTTAACTGCAGCTTCTAACTTCACTTTTATAAATCTTTTTGAACAGGGAGTGGCAACAAGCTTGCCACTTAAATGGCAAAGGAGGAGGACATATTCCAGAATAATGCAAAGATTCACTTTTTGGAAGTGGTACTATGAAATAACTGATAGCTAAACATGCCTGGTAGAATGCATGCGGTACGTTACAGCCGGTCCTTCAGGAACCGAAACACGGCTCAGGAAGGGGGATGCGATCAGTCTGGTTGTAGGCAGGAGTGCACAGCAACAGTATGCACAGTTTAGTCCAGGTACATGCCTTCAGCGAAACCTTCAGCTACCTTGTGAATTTATTGCTCCAAATATCTTATTCACCCAAGCAGAAATCTTTAGAGCTCATGCTGCAATTGAAGGTTTTGGTTCACCCTTGTTGGGGGCTGCTCACCTTGGACCATTCTCCTACGACTAGCTGAGGAGGACAATCAACTTTTGCACATGGTTTACTAGTTGGCAGTTTAGGTTCCTGGCAGGTGTCATCAGAGTGCTTCAGGAAACTTCCATCTGTCAACAGCTGCTTACAGTACACTTTGCGGGTCTGAATCCCTCCTCCACAAGTACGTGAACACTAGGGAGAAGAAGAGAGCATAGAACGTACACCTGCATGGACATCTGTGCTCACCCATCACAATTATTTTACACAAACGCTGTAAGCCCCCCACCCTCCCCACCCCCCAGCTGTGCTCTCTTGAAAAATGACATCTACCTTTAATTAAAAAGCAAGCAACATGCAGAAAATGCTTCTGTTAAAATGTTTAGCTAATATATTAGAGATGATGAGAACCTAACTACTAAGTTAAAAAGTCACACCACCTGAATGCAATTAAGTAGAAGAAATCTTTAGGAAAAACACATAGATCTGCCTATGTCACACATCAGTTAATAGACCTGGTGGGAGTTTAGGAAAATTTGTCTTTGACGACAAAAAAAAAAAAAAAAAAAAGCAGCAATGTCTCCGAAAGGCTGTTATTGCACTTGCAGAGCATAGAAAGAGAGGTGAGATCTGGAGTAACTGGTATCCAGTCTTCTTCTGAAATCGTAAAAAGGGCTTTCCACCTCATCCTGTGACTACCCAGCGGCACAGTAGTCCAAAGCGGTACTTTTGACCCTGGATTACTTTGTTCTAATGAAATCAATTGAAACACTTAACATACCAAAGTTTAGGGGCTACCTGCCATGTTATTCCACCTAGAGCATTTCAGGTACCAGAGGAAGACATTTAAACTATTTCTGTAAGCCAGTCATACCTGTTGCCATTCCTCAACATGCCAAACAGGGGGACAATCAATCTGGTTACAGGCTTGTAAAGAATGAGGTTTTTTGTCTTTGCAGTCTTCAGCAGCAACAGCAGGTCCTCCCGGCTGCTGGCAGTACACGTCCCTCGTCTGTATCCCAACCCCACACGTAGCTGAGCAGCGTCTCCAGGGGCCGCTTTGCCAACTGTTCCAACAACACAGCCAAGAGCGCACAGTTTAGCAACTCCCTTCAGACGGGGGAAGGAGCACTCATACCCAAAGAGCACCTAGCAAGAAGTAACTGAAGGCATCGTTACTGATAGATGGCTAAAACGTCCCTTTGGTTTGGCTGTAATGCAAAATTATCAACTAGATTTATAAACTTACAGGTAACAAAGAAATGCAGAAGTTATTCACAATAAAGGAATAAAGAGTCATTTTCAGACGAATTCCACTCCAGCATTTACTTTTCGAACACTCATTAAAAAAAACAGCCTGTTGGGGTTTAAATTTATAAATGTAAATATGTAAATAGACCTTTCTTACATTTACAGAACTTCCTTTAAATGTGTATATGTTTTCTATAAAACATCCTGTTCCTGTTAACTTCTTCCCTACATTTTGCAAGAGGAGGTTTCTGCAAAAATGTAGAAACAATATGCAAAGGATCAGGGATGTCAGAGATCAAAAGTGGGTAAATAAGGCAGCGCAAGTCAACATTTCACATATGGCCCTTTCAAGTGACCAAATTAGCTAGGTTTTCTTGGATTTAGACTGGGTTTGTTCTTTTCCCAGGATCTTCAAACAACAGCCATAAGAACTATGTGGGGCTACTAAAGAAGCATGAGGTTAAAGTAACTTTAAATCATAATTTCACTTTTTTTCAATCAGTAAGGATAGAAAGTAAATATTCTCTGGGTTTTTCTGTGAAATTGCCCTAAAATTTTCCTTGTACCACTAGAAGAGTTAAGGCTGTTTTTCCAGCCCTGGCAAACATCTACAAAGAAGAGATTTATTTCAGAAAATGTTCCCTATTTTATTAGTGAGATGTGAAGAGTGGAAAAGGAGTGAACAAGACCAAAAAAAAATCCCAACCCCAAAACCTTGTTAAAGACAGAAGTAGTGAAATTTCATCCAAAAGCAAGACCACAGTCCTGCAATCTGAACCCTTTCTGAGAAAGCCAATGTTTATTTAAGCCATATTAACCAGTTCTCTGCCACACTATGATTTCGTTATGACAGCGTACCTCGGAGGGCAAAGCTTTGTATTGCAAGTACGAGTCATCGGTGGTGGTCTCTTAGAATTGTCACACAGGCTTTCATTGACTGCTTGTTTTGTCTCTACATGCAGACACATTGCAATAGCTTCTTGTGTTCCTGGATTAAAAAGGAAAATACTCATGAAACACCGAAGATGGAAGAGATTTCTGTAAAGCTTACTTCTCAGTGAAAAAGTTCCAAACACTGAATTCAATGGCAGGCTTAAAATTAACTTTTCAAGTCATAAAGAACACTGAAATAGTTTATATAATACTCAGAAGATATTTGTGAATTATATGTAGCACTTCTGTGATATTTAAAAGTCTTGATTTGACATTCTACTTCTCAAACCAACAGTCAATAGGCTTCTCTGTCCACTATCAGACGCTACATCTGCCTGGTTCTGTAATGTTCTCACGCCAACTACTAGTTTCATTGCCAAAATCAGGGTGAAAGTGATTCCTTTTCATTTACCTTGACTTTAAGGAGCTAAAGATCTCCTAATTAAAAAAAAAAAAGGCAAAAAACTTGCAAAACTATAGTCAGGAGAATGGCTGACTAAACATAGAACCTTTCTCATAGGGGCTAAGAGAAGCAATAGTTTTGCTGAAGGCAGCAAATCTGTCCCAGCCTCGAGCTTTCCTCACTCATGACCATTCTTGGCACCTTCTGTTCTGCAGTTCTTGCTACCTGGATCTTATTACTGAAGCATGAAAGATTACTAATACTCACATTTCTATGAGTCAAAATGAAACGTAATATAAGTTTGCTTTAGAACAAGTCAGCTTAGTGAATACGCATTTTGTGAACTACTTTTATTTTAAACCTATGTAATTATCCAATTTTATATATCGTACTTTTTAGTATGAAAGCCTTGCTCAATTTCAAGGCTCACTTGCATGCACACGAAAGACAAGATGATTTGTGATGTACTTGGGGAATCCTGTGTATTCTATAGCAATGCTAATGATCATAAGCCTGTAGAACAAAAAAAGCTCTGAAATAATAAAATACCTATTTTGTTGTTTCCAGGTAAAAATGGCTTTTGAAGAGTCAGTTTAAAGAATGTAAATCCATTTCCTTCCTATCTCCAGTGGTTTTGTAAGGAAACAAACTTGCTTTCAGCAGCAGGTTATATGTCTTTTCTTATGACCAACTTCTAAAGTTTCAAAGGGAGTTGCATTTTTAACTAGAGACCTTCACTACCCACTTCATGGTATCACGTATGACATTACCTCAAACATCACCACTGTTGTTACACAAAGACTACTACAGCTACTCCTGCTTCTGTGTCAACTGTGCATGACGACTGGTTTCTTAGGATCAGAAACGTTTCGGTTGGAAAAAACGTTTAAGACCATCGAGTCCAACTGTTAACCTACCACTGCCAAATCCACCACTAAGCCGTGTCCCCAAGCACCACTGTCTTGGCACTATTGATCACTAGCCATTCGGATTTCAGCGGGCTCGATGAAATATCCTACACTGAAAGTTTCATCTCCATGCCAATGGTCCATATTTCTCTCTTTTACAACACATTCATGAGCACTGTCATTCTTTTCATAAACGAAAGCTGTTCCTTCCATCTATAAACAATTCTGATGTAGTCCAGCGTATCAGCCAGCCCAGGCCACAATCCTTCTTCGCGACACTTGAACCAGTCCAACTATTTCAGACGTGTCAGCAGAAGGAATAGACCAGCAGTGATTTTCACAGTAAGGAAGATTCCAATTTCTTTCAGGCTCTCTGGTACACCTCTTGATCCCCTCTGGGACTCATTTTCAGTTCAGAAAGACCTTGTTATATAAATGTTTTGACTACATCTACAAAGTGATGAGTTTTTAAAGGATGGAAGACCTGGCCTTAGATATGATTGACAACCTATTCGGTTCTCTTATATCAAAGTATTGATAATTACATTAACATAGAACACACGCATTGAGTAAAACATATTTTACTAACAGGGCTGAGAAGAAACCTTTAACAGCAAATACCATTACTATAATGCAGACAAGAAAATGGCAGAAAAAAGACAAACCGGTAAATAAACATGGTTTCTAGAACTCTACTATTTTATTCCAGACTGACAACCAAGGGAATCAAACATTTTCTGTCCAATCAATCCCCATGTGTTTAACAGGAGCAGCTTCCCTGACCCCTTACGTAGGAAACGCACATCTGACTGCGTGCCGGAGAGAAATAAAGATTTAGAAATCATGTTCTGGCAGAAAGAGAATGACGTTACCAGACAAGCAATCAAGCATAGATCAAGCATCCATATAATCTCTACTTTAGGTCAAAATCTACCCTATGCCACCAACCTGCAGTTTCACTGACCTCACCATGCTCCTGGGGGAAAACCACACGCAGAGGTGATGCTACTCTGGAACAGGTTGCGATAAGTAATATCTTCTTAATATCCCACACAAAGGAGGGGAAAGAAATGAGATTCCTTTCAGACCATCTAAATCGGCAATAATCCCACAGGAACCTTTCATCTCAGTGTTATAAAAACTGAATTGGCCAGCCAAATGAACAAAAGGCCTGTCATACCAGGTGATGGTTTGTGACTGCAACTTGCCACCTGGAGTTCATTAGACCACTTCTGCCTTGCAGCATGATCTACCTAGCTTTAATTGTGTTACCAGAAGAAAAGGTCGATACGTGGTGTATCTTTCGTTTGACTTAACTCCAGGGCACAAACTGCAGCAGTGATACCGCCCCAACAGGGACCCTATTGAAAGAAAAACGGCTCCCTGTTTTGATGCCGTAAGTACAAAACAGGTATCTAAGAGTTGTTAAAAACATACCACGCACTTCCTTCCTGTTCCTTGGTTCTCAGTTCACGGACTCTATTCAACAACTAACTACACTTAACTGATGCAGCATTTGCTTGAATTTAACTGTCAAAATATCTTGACAATTAACCAGATTTCTCACCCCAAACTATAATTTTACATTATTTGGGAACTTCAATCACTGATAAATTTCTTACTCTATGTCAATTGGAAAATGGAAAAATCTATTATTCAAACAAGCAAAGTTTTATATGTATTACTTTCTTGGCTTATAATATAAACATAGTAGATAATTTAACTCAAACATTATGTATGCAGTAGGGAGCATTAAGTATTTTTACAGTAATCTGATGCACTATTGTAGTAATTATCCTACTATTCAGTGAAATAGAATCTTTTCTATTTTAACCCAGCATTCAAACCACATACATTTACATTCTTTTACAAGCTTTTCCGTGCACTGAAATATACAGTGCCTTAAACTGTGTTAAAAGATCAGAATGCTCAAAAAAAGCCCAGAAGTTTGGTTTCTGCCTTTCTTAGAATACAGAGAAAATGGGGTGGAAAGTTGCTGTGCAAATGGTAAGAGGGTGGACCTGTTCTCTACACCTGGAAAAAGAAGGACAGTCATTTATTTCTATCAGACAGTCTCAGTTTGGTGACTGCTTAAAAATATGTATTATCAGCTGAAACAACTCAGAAGAAATGCCAAGTCCTACCTATGCTTGTACCCCTCTGCAAATCTATTGAAAATGGCAATGTTATTTATACTCCTCCTGTAGAAGAGTACACAGTCAGCGTCTGCAGTTAATGGAAGTAGTCATAGGAGTAACCCGTTATCAAATTGCCTACAACACTATTGCAAAAGCTCTCAACTTTATATGCGAGTCTCAGAATGGTCATTGTTTTTCTTAAGAGCCCTTAAATTTGGCTAGAATCCACTGATTTTCTAAGAATCTCAGGTTTCTTATGAATAAAATAGTGAACTTTTAGCCATTATGGTCCAGACAAAAGCCTGAAAACACAACTTGACTGCACCCTAAATCTTGCACAGGCTATAGAGGAAACAGCAGGAAGTGCATATGTATTTGTTGTTTAATCTCACTATTTCTAACCTGATGTAATGACTTTGTGGGGGCCCGAATCATAGTTTTTGAAGCATGTGGAATATAAATAATAGTAATTAACCACTGAAATAACAAAAACTGCCTCTTGCAATTAAAGGTATTTTTAAACAGGGACCCAGAAAATGTTCAATTATTTTTTTAAATGGAAAACTTCTCTTTAAAATATTGTAGAGTAGTTAAATGATTGACAACACTAAAGAAATAGTACAGATTATAAAAACCCATTTCTTTTCCTCAGGCTTACTCTTTACTCTGATAACAACTATTACTTCTCACTGATGATATTATGAAAATTAAAGTTATACTTATGTTGGGGGCATTTGCATCAGGGCCAAAGTTCTTCAGATTAAAAAAAAAAAAAAAAAACCACAAAACATTCTGGGAAAATAAGGGCAAATCCTGAGATCCCTGAGCACACAGTTGGCTTATTTTCAGTTTGGGATTTCTCAGTCACTGAAGACAAAATAGATCTTTAGCTTTCAGGATGGTTACAGAGTTTCCTATGGATGTTAAAGGTGACGTCTGCCTCAATTAGACTGGACAAATTTTATTTGCACTCATGGAAAGATTGATGAAAGCAGCATTAATTATGCTAACAGGTATAACACAGTGTAGGAGTCCTCAAAAGCAGTAATTTTTATGGCACCTAATATGCTGCATGACAAGCCACACAGATTTGGTGCAGAAAGCACACAAAACGACCAGAGACTTGTGTTACTAATGCTCTAGAACCTGCTGAATATGATGAACTGGACAGTAAAGACGATTGATACAGCAATCTGCAAGGCATTATCAAACATCTCTGCAATTCTAATACCCCAAAACCAACGTTTCCATCTGCATTTTTACATCTGCTTTGGAGAGGGACTAGAGGAGAGTTTGCATTAGAAGTCTAGTCTGTATGAGGATTTAAGAAAAGGTGCAAGTGACAAGCACCGAAACAGAGATTCAGTCCTTGCTCAAACAGTGGCTATAAAGCCTCCAGCCTACTTAGACCCTGCAGACTTTTCCCTCATTCAGAAAGAGTCAAGCACTAAGAAATGGGCGTAGGGAGTTCTGAGGCTACAGAAATCCACAGGAATTTATTTTAATAGCCACTGCTAGATACATACATAACTAGAGGAAAAAGTACCTAATATAATTTACATTACACTGGGATATTCCAAACTCAGACAACATTTATTTCTTGTAATGAAAGAGTTCATCTAATTGAAATGAGATTTGAACATAAAACCTAGCAGAAATGGATCAGCTCCTTTGAACTACACAATGGAAAAATAGTAGACAGTGAGATCATTAGTTAGTACACTGCAATAAGTTGGAAACAGAAGAGATGTCTGGTTCCCTTAAAACTATTTATCGGCAGGTAATTTTTGGTCTGTTTGAAAGCCTTTGCCAAGGCAGCAAGATGACCAGAACTGATAGAAGGAAAAAAATCACTGCTGCCTAACTAGCATAACAGTACATGGACTTCTGAAGCTGTTCATTGATAAAATATCCTGACAACTTCCCACATTTCCCAGGAGCATCACATAAGAAAAATGTCTAGACATAGTACCAGTGATACCACAGAAGTCTCCATAACACAACCAGTGCAAGTTTTTATGTGAACGTTTTTGCATGGACAAACTCACACACAAAGATGCAGGCAATGCAAACATGCACATGTGCAATAGCAGGCAAAGCCCAGAGATTATTTCAGCCCAGAAATCTGCTGATGTCCTCAAAATTCAACAAGTTTGGAGTTTTAGAACACCTCTGACAAAGACAATCGGCTAAAAAGCAGTCATAAAGTGGATTTAAGATGCAATGGAATACTTGTGCGTTACAAAAATCAGTTGAGATATATAAAAAAAAAAGAGAACTACAAATTCAGCAGTAATGAAAGCCTTGTTTCTGCTTCAGAGTACAATTTCCTTATTTCTAAAAACAATTCCCTCATTAAAATGAAGAAACGGAACACTCAGTCACAATAGCTGTCATTACCGTGTCACCAAGTATATACTTGGACTATAGCCTCTATATTGCCACTATATTGGCAAGGACAAGCCTGACCTTGCCAGTCAAAATGCCCGCTGAAGGTAGTGGAGGGAATGGGATGCATCAGCTTTTGTGATCACCTGGGCTGCTATTCCTATGGATCAACCCCATCAGTAAACACCAGTAGTAAATGATCAAGGAGGCACTTATCAGTCACTTACCATCCTGCGATAGCATTCTAGGGCATCCCCCCCAGCTTCTGTCTTCAAGGTTTGAACTAGTGAAGAGTACAAAGGAGGCTGCTTTCTGTGAGCTCTAGACTGGCTCTCTGCTTCCAATTGTTTCTGTTCTCCCCTTTTCTACATTTTTTTATTTCTTCTATGGGTACAACTGTCTTCACTTCCCACTGATGTCATCAGTCCTGTCATATATAGGTGTGTTCACAATTCCACTGCCTCCACTTAACACCTAATAACTCACTTGTGTTCAGTCCCAAAGTATAGTATGTAGTAGCAACACCAGCAACCTTGTCTAGTAACATGTACTTAGGACGACAGGGAGATTCGATTACATCCAAAAAGGAACGTGCCTAACTACTTGCAGACAGATGTATGGCACACAGTTCCTATCAAGTAATATACCGTACCAAGACCTAAACAAACTCCTGTTTGATCTTAATGCCGGTCAGACTGAAAGCAGGTCTCCCTAATTACAACTTTGTATACCTACTGTACTGCAGAAAGCAGCAGCATTTCGGAAGATAAGGAATAATTAAATGGGAATTTTTCTCTGAAACAATACACTGTTGATTCCTAGGAAAAGAAAGGCCATCTAAACATGCCCGTCACTGACACATTAAACCTCCTGGTACCACCAACTGCCTGGCAGCTGAGACTCCTGCAGCAACAAGACTAAAGCAAGTTGCTGTACAACAACTCCTTGCACCTCACTTAACCAAATAAAGTTGGTATTTGACCACAAGATATAAAGGAAACAAAGCAGTTTGAAATACTCTATGGAAAACCTAGAAATAAGTTAAAGCTTGAAGATGCATGTTTTCCCAGAGATCAACATAGCTAATTTCGGGGAACACTAGCAGAAGACTCAACAATATCAAACAATGCCGAATTCTTTACAACTCAGGAGAAATAAATAAATAAAGGTACCTCCAAGACATGTGGCTGAACAAGGGGTAAAACCAATGTACTCCCAGTCATAAATCACACTGCCATCTTCAGCATGTGAAAATTCTGGTGTGTAGGGGACAGGATCACTGTCACAGGATGCCTGGTGACAGACTCGTTCTGTTGGTGGCTTCACATCTTCACATTCCTCCTCAGGCAGTTCAACCTCAGTCTGAGTAAATGCAAGAAGAATTCGGCACTTCACATCTCGCACCTGTATGCCATTGCCACATGTAGCACTGCATGGAGACCAGGGTTCAGGAATAAACCTGCAAATAATCACAGCACAGTAGAAACACTGTCATTTTATTCCATAAATGAATATGTGCCTGTGTATGCACAGTTGAAAAACAGCTAAGAGACATAAATGTATGCTTATACACAAAGTAGACAATACATAATACTATCTGATGCTTAAATAGAATGCATAAGCAAGTGCCTTAAGTCTTTCATTTGCCTCTCATCCCAGACTATTTCTCAAAATTCATGAAAGATGTACGAAAAGAGAAGAAAGAATCATGAGGAACAGGGAAAGCTGTATCCTTTTTTGGGGAGAAAGGACATAATCTAAATCTTTTCTCAAGTTCTTTCAGTAGAAAAAAAGCGAGAAACTCCATGAAGACATTTCTATACAACATGAAATAGCTCCCCAGGTATGCAGACTTTGGCATATGCCAAAAGTATATTTGCAGTATGCTTAAATCTGAGAAAGGCCATCATGTTATGTTATACTAATAATCAGAAGAAAAGCACTTTTCAAATCTAGCTATCTCCAACACACCCCACCACAGGCTGCTGTTCAGATTAATCTTGTAAGAAGCCTCTCATCTTCAATAAAGAGGTCTAACCAGCTCAAGTCAATAATCCATCATTTTTATTATGAAGCATTTATGCTCCTGATGAACTATAGTAAAATCTTATTTTACAGATCATGAATTTACTGAATAAAAGGAGGTTTTAGTCGATAATATTCTCTGACTTCAAGGGCCATATTAATATCTGATAGTAATTTTCAAAATGGCACTAGAGCCAAGGCACTGAATTTCATTAATAAAGACATCCTGAGTGGCTCTGGGATACAATTTATAAGAAATCAAATACAGAGTTTCATAGAACATTTTTCCAAAAGGTTGCAGTTGCTTGTTGTTATATGTCCAAATGCAGCTGATGATCCAAACCCAAATTTGAGATATAGGAGGATATATTTGACCAATGCTAAAAATGTATTTGGAAGGAAAAATCCAAATTAGGATTCATAGATTTTCTCCTTATCCTTGATTAAGAATTATCTTTCCCTTTACTGCAGGAAAGCTGCCCTTAGAGCTACAAGAAATGTTGTCTAAGACAAAAAACAGTATTTACGCTCTGCATACACAGTAAGCAGAGAAAAATGTCAACACAGTGTGGTTGATTCTGTGGACAGTTTATCATCCTGAGCCAATAACCTCTTGCCAGTATATACAGAGGAAGAATCAAATAGAAGACCGGAGAACAGATGAGTGGCTAACCCATGAGGATACTCTAACTTAATCCTTGAGGTAGTCACTCAAGCTGTGTTTGGGATAGACCCCAAGAGAGTCTCCTGCGGAAAAGACTATTCTCATTTCCAATGAAGGTTACAAGGTAACGGGTTATTCTTTAAGGAGATGTTGATGAAATACCTTTACCATTCTACTATGAAGATAAAGATGTCAAAGCCTATCACTGCAAAGTTTCCTTGAACAGAGCCTCAAAATTTCAGTTTGAGCTCCCTGATCCTTGACAGACTTCAGTAAAGGGCACAGTATCCTCAGCTCTGCCCGACACCAAGGAAAACTGCAAGTGCTCATCACTTCCCCAGTCGGACTACCTTTGAAGTAGATGACCAGAGTGGTTTTTATTGCAAGAGTATTATCAAAACGGTGGATGATTGTGTCCTACAGTGATAAAATCTGAGTAAATGCCATGCTGGTGCAACCCCACAGCCCATCAAGTCCAGTGGCACAGCTGGCAGGGGTCAATGTCCAGATGCTTTTGATAACAAATTCTAACTGAACACCTGTGCGAAAAGCTGCAAAGGAAGGCTTTCTCTTGCCTCCAGCAGATAAAATCAGGTTAACCCTGAAACATCAGATCTCACAGTCTTCTTAAAGACAGCCACACAAACTACCTAGGGTAGCCAGGGCAAAATCACCCTCATCCAACAAAATGCTTAGGTACGTGCCTAACTTTAAGCATATTAGCAACCTTTTGAAGTCAATAGGGCTATAATGAGTTCAGACTTAAACTTGTGTTTAAGTGCTTTATTGGACCAAGGCCATTGTGCATAGGCTTAACAAAATCATTACTTTCCTCTCCTTCTGTGAAAAAACAAAAAGCCTGAGTCCATTTGTAGTTACGTACCTAATTGGAAAAATAGAACTGATGGACATTTATAGTTGAAAAGAGCTAACTGGCATTCTGACCACACCTAACAGTTTATAGTCTGAAAGCAAGCAACTTTTTTTGGTAAAAATATGACAGCAGCATACCAGAAATTAGTGTTAGTTTTGTATACTGTTAGTTGAGTGCATTAAAACATTCCAAAAATAACGTATGATGCATTCTTTTGCAATCCTGTATAAATGAAAGGAAATTTTGAACCACAGCAATCCTTTCAATTAATTTATAAAGAAACTTATAAAGTTATAAGCATTTTTTCTCTGACTTACAGCAAGCATGTATTATAATTGAAGTTTTCCCGTTGAATGTTAGTGTCTGGTATTTTTCAGCCACATGCAAGTTAAAAAAAACCTACAACACTCAAAATACTTTCTATGCTACCTTGGCATTTTCTAAACCAGTCACATGACTGTTTAGCTATTAAAATCCTGAATTATAGAACTTTTCAAAGGATGACCATGTTGAAGTCACACTTTAAGTACCTTCAACAGAAGCCAATGGAGACTGCTACTACCAAATTAGAGCAAGGAACTGACTGGACAGTGACAGAGCTCCAGGGGCTGACATTGTATCTGAATTTTGAACTCGGGCAGATTATTTTTTACTTTTTAACATATGCACAACCAAAGCCTGTGACAGATCATTAAAGCAAACTCCATCAACCTCTGAAGTGACATAGTTTTTACTCGGTGGCATTTACAGCACACACGTGGCAATGCTTTGAACACAATACTTCTCTGAAGACACTCAGAGTGTTCTCAGGTAGGGATTAAGAAGCATCAAAGCCCTTGTATTATGATGCCTTGCAGATCATCAGGAATTTATAGAGGAATGGATAGGATGGTTGTAACTGAAAATTTTCTGAGATCTTTAGCTAAGTTTGTAGATGAGAATTCTCTTCTGATTAAAAAAAGGAAAAGAATGGAAAAATGCAGGCACAACTTTTCACAATCAGCCTTTTTGTACAGTCATTCCTCCCAGTGCAACGTAGAAATCAAATGCTCCTATAATCATCTGCACAGGTATAAATGATGTACACGCTACAGATGCGGTGGAGAGCGTGGCCATGCTGCAGTGTTATCAGTCTAACACTAATGGAAAGGTGCATTCACCTGGCATGCTCTGAAAACGCCAGCGTAGGATGGCCTGGGAGATGAAGCAGTGACCTGAACTACTGATGATAAAACTGGGACAGAACAGCCCAACTCAACCAAGTCAAATCTGAACAGAAAACTGAAATCAGCACAGCCTTCTGCAGCTTTCTAGACTTGGAAAACATGGTGTCTCAATATATATTTTTTTAATTTTCCTCATGCCTGCAGTTCTTGCTTTCAGTTAAGACAGGAAATGCCTAAATCCTGAAAAAAAGGCTGCTCTTGTGATATTTCCAGTCCAACCCTACTGTGCCAAGGGGCCTGAATAAAAGTTTGCAGAAGCATCTAAAATGTTGGCTGGTTTCTGGGGCAGAACTTCCAGGACGCTGGCACCCTAGTCTGCCCTGGAGCACCACCCTTGCCTGCTCTGAGCAGGTTTTATCAACCTCGAGTGTAGCGTGTTGGACAAAATCACCAGCCCATTTTCAGAGAAGCAGCTGTGAAAAATGTGTAATTCTCTATCACCAAAGGCACGATGGAGACAGTTCTGTGAAAATGACTCAAACACAATGAGCAACAACCTTTATGAGAGACATCACATTTCACATTCACTGACTGCAACTCACAAACCTAGTGATTACTTTTTAGCTCAGGTTGCTGAAAAAATATATCAGCTTTTGAAAGCATTTTAGTTTTGCCCTAAGCCAAAACAGAGAAAGGCAGTCGAGGTGTCTATTCCTTTAACTTATGATTAATAAAAAGGATGCAAAAACCTGCTGGAGCTTCTCTGCGAATCCCACTGTAACTAAGAAGGCTCAAGGGAAGAACGTTTAAAATAATGATTGGTATCAACTGTCATCACATTCCACAACTAAAAACTAAAAAGGTCAGACCTACATTTTTCTTGGCCTCACTTTAAGGGCAGTCATTTTTTATTTTGTTAATAATAAAAAAAAGAAGCTTTTGAACATTCCCCCTCTATGTACATTCAGGACACCAGCCGTGGTAGACCACAGTGGCAGAAGTATTTATCTTCCACAAGCTACTTTTGGCACATCCATCATTTGTGGGTTCTAAAACACAGCTGCATTTATTCTTTTATTCATTATCAACTAAAATATCACACGAAAGCATAGAAAGACAGTTGTAATAAAAAGATGGACTAGAAGTTGAGATTTCATATTGTGGTTTAAGTTTGGATGACAAGAGAATAACTAAAATTAAGAGTGATGGCATTTTACCAAGGAAATTGTAAGCCTCATGCCGGGCAGAGGTGGGCTACGAGTTATCACTGTGCCATGTGTGAATTACAGAAAACAAACTTAAACAGATGCAGACCAGAGGAAAAATCTTGTTATAATTTACTTCAGGAGAAGTAGCAACCTATTGTTACACTTTCTTTTTAATTCTGAACCCTGACCCAAAAATCTCACTCCAGCTGGAACAGTCAGGGCATGAGATTTAAAGTATCCAGTGAGAAGTTGCTCTGTTTGCAAACCCCTGTCCACAGGACCAACAGGCGACCTGCAGAAAGGGATGAAGTCAGGGGTCAGTTATCTCTCATTTCTCCTCACCTGCCAGCTTCCTCAGAAGGACAGAGTAAGAGCAGCTGGCAGCAGAAGACAGGTAAAAAGAAACTAAAGGGGAATCTGGCTGCAGCACTTGAGCCAGGTCCCAGGAGAGCCCAGAGTACCCAGACTAGGAGAGCACAGCACCTCACCAAAAAGAAGGATGGCAGAGAAGAGTCATCAGCAAGAAGTGGCTGGAGAAACCTTTCAGACTTAGGTGAAGATGCTTCTGGA